AAGAATCAGCTATTCCTTAATATTTATTCCTAAGGATTTTCATAAAGAATAGGCACGAAGTTCGTCTGTGACATCCATAAAATTCATAAAAATTTTAAACTTTTTCAAACATCCAAAAACACCATTATTACAAATTGTTTTTACAATAGTTTTTCATCAGAGTAATTCCCAGAAATCATAACAAAAAATATGAGGAGATGCACAATTAAGCCTTCGCATTCCCACGATTATCTGAAGTACCTGAAACCATAAATCAAAACTGTAAGCCCGAAGCTTAGTGAGTTCCCCCAAAGTACCATCACCCAGAAGATAACATATACAAATAACAACATCCATACTGAGCCTTCAGTTTAGCTGGACCGCCTCACAGGGCCTACATCCTATTTGGACTGCTCCCGAGCCTTTGACATGAATGGAATACCTCGTAGGGCCTACAACCTATCCGGATCGCTCGCATGGCCTTCATCCTGATTGGACTGCCTCGTGGGGCATACAGTCTACCTGTACCACCCTAGGTCTATTGGCCTTCAGCACAAAGAAGGACCGCTTCAACCCTACCACACACATACACACACATGTGGACATATACATAAATCATAACCACATAATAAATCAGCAGGCAAGCACAGTTCATACATATCAATAAGCATAACATCATCCTATCTACTAGGATACTGATCTAATAAATCATAACAACATAGCAACATCCTATCTACTAGGATACCGATCTAATAGATCATAACAACATACAAGCATACAATAACCAGGATAACAATCTGTAAGTCTCTAAACTCAGATATTTCAAGGTATCAATGCAATTGTTTGAGTTAATGTAGAATCTTAATCAAACAACGATACGAAACTCACAATTAGATATATCAAGCACACGTTTTAATGAATGCACATAATTTTATTGATCAATGGTCAAGTACATTTAATCTCCTTTCAGCCATGAGTCACTAGAATACTCCAAAAACACATTACCCTACAACAGCTATACATAGACTATATTTATACTGAACGGATAACCTAAAGCCAAAACATAATAAGCCCATCGAAAACACACTAAGCCTACTAGTGATTTTGATCCAAAACTGAGAGCACATAATACATACAAAAACAAAGCATAAACCACAAAATATAGTCCAACAATCTCCCCCTTGGTTTATCGCTTTTTGTTCTCTTCAAGTTTTCTCTACCTGATGCACATCTGCTTGGTCAAAAGTCCCCACCCATAGCTTATTCTCAATAATAGTAGCCACCATTCCAGTGAAGGCTTTTTGCGCCAGCTTCAAAAAGTTCATTCTCAACAATTATTTAAAAGTTTGACAAGGTGGGGATATTGCGTTCTCCAAACTTCAACAAGTCTTTGGTATCAACAATACGAAACTGGTTTTTCTTCAGCTTGATCACCATTGTTGCAGTAGCTTCATCAAAAACCCATAATTACATTGTATCCATAATTCCTCCAGGTAAATGTTTGGGAAGAGGAATTTCTTTGGCTTGCTTTATTTATGGCCACATGACATTCACTAGATTTTTGTTTATGTGGGGATCAATGTCACCCTTGGCCTTCTTAGTGAACAATGAAGCAGTCTTTAAATATTCAAAGTTATTTTTTGCTTTGACCTCAAGAAAATTCTTAAAGGACCAGGCCATGGTATCATTGGTTGGATTTTGGAAAGGCTCATGGATGAGTTCAGAAAGATAAACTTTTTTCTAGGACAAGAAGTTGACTTTCTTCTCATAATATTAAATTCGTCCGCTTTTTCGCTTCACGGTCCACATTTTCTTTTCAGTATCATATCCCCACATGAAGATGCCAAAACGATCCCCATATTTATCTGTGAATTTCTTCCCAGTTTCCCTGAAGAACATCTCATGATGCTCACCTGGACAATTTTGGTCTGAGTGCTTCATCACGAGCATTTTCCCTTTCAGCTGATCAACCCTGATTTGGTTCTCTCTTCTTTCTTGAGTAGTAACAAGACCAGAAGATAAGAAAGAATAAAGGTTAGCATCTGGAGCAGATCTTATAGCTCTTTCACTGGAAGATTGTGAATTTGGATCGGTGGGACAAGAATTGGAATCACAAATCTTTTCTCCTTCGGTTCTCCATGGTTGAAATTCATCACCAAACTTTTGATGTAAGCACTATTTCAGGTCACAGAATAGAGAAGTTAGACCACCAAGATTTGCTTAAAGTTCTAAAATCTTTGCATCTTTAATGGAGTTCTCCTTTTCAAGCTTACTCATTTGAATGTCTTACTTTCCAATAATAAAATCTTTTTCAGCAGATCTTTGTTCCAAATCAAAAACTCTGCTCTGAAGCAGAGCGACATCCATAAATTCAAACTCAGAAAATTTTCTTTTGCCTTTGAAAATGATTAACTCAGGGGTTTCAGAGGAGCTTCCAGAAGCTTGAGCTCCTTCAGAAGGAAAAACTACTTCTTCAATAATAGGGATTTGAAAATCCTGATCCATAGGAATAGACTCAGGTAACGGGCTTGAAATAGCTTGTATCACTGGAAATGACTGAGTGAATGTGCTTTCAATGTTTGAGCCATAAGACTAGGCTCAATCGGTGTAGTTATATTTTGAACAGGGTCTGTGATAAGCACTCCCGACCTTGGATATCTTCTTTTTCTCTTTCTTGGGAGTAGGGCATGGACTGAATCTTCATAATCACTCTCAGATGGAGGTCTGGTTATGATATGAATTGTTTAGGGAGGCTTCCTTGTAGTTCGTTGAAGTTCTGTAATAAGAGCATCCACCTGTTTAGGGGCAAGTATGGAGGATTGCACAGTTGTGTCACGATCTCTTTCAATCACAGCAGAAGGTGTGATAGCTGCATCCTCTTCTGACATTCAGATAATTTGGTCAATAAATTCTTCTAACTTATTCTCAGTCAATTCCTTTTCTTGATCCTCTTCTTCTTCATCGTCAGATACTTCGACATCTTCAAAGACAAATTGAAATTTTGGCTTGGGCGCCACATGTTCCTCGACAATCTCAACATTAATTGAACTAACATTCGGAGTGTCTTCAACCTCAACAAACTTTCCAAATTTAACCAATTCCTTTAGTCCTTAAGAGGCAACTTTGGCAGCCTTTCTTAATTGCTTCATGAGTCTAAAAGTGTAGGGACCAAGCTTTGATATCCAAAGTATTAGACGACCTCTCGATTAGGGGATATTTTTCATTAAAGATCATTTGAAGGAACCTAGGATACATCAAAAATAGGTCTTTTTTCTTCCCCTGGAGGTTGCTTTTCATTTCTTCAAAAACCAACTTTGAAAAGTTGTAATCCCAAATCATTGCTAAAGTAATTATAGCTGAGGTCATAGTCTGACTAATTTCATCAGATCCTCCTTCCTTCCAAAAATGCAAATCATAAAGGAGTGTGCAAGGAACCTCTAGTAAGGTGGTAGTAGCTTCTTGATGATGGGATGATAGGTTCCTTCATAAAAGATCTTCTCCAGAACTTCCTTGACTTGATCAACAGAGTACTCAACTGGGAATGCAGAAGCATCACCAAATTCAAGTACCTCTCGAATAACTTGTTAAGAGATTATTACTTGTGTGCCTTTCACCATCCATTCAACAATACCAACTCCATCAGCTCTCAGCTTTTTCATTGAAGCATTTTTCTAGAACTTAGTAATCAGGTCTCTGTGGATGATTGGATTAGCACGAAGGGCTTGAGAAATCATGCAGTTGTTCAAACCCACCATCCTGGATTTGAATTATTGAGGAGCAGCAGGTGGATCCATGAGATATCTAGCATTGTTATGAGAGTCTACAAACTGTAGTTGGTCTACCATTTATCAACTCCGAACTAGCCAAGTCAGAATTAGTATAAAAATCAATTAAATTGAGTTTGAAATTTGATTTCAGTTAACTCAAAGTTTTAGTCGATTTCGATCGAAGACAAAGTTTCAGTCGTTTTCGGTTAAAGTCAAGTTTTCAATCGATTTCGGTCAAAATTAATCGATTTCTGTCAAAAGATTTGTAGCCCGGATGATTTCGGTCAATGCTGGTTGATTTCGGCCGAAAACCTAGTTTTTTGTCAAGACTTCATTTGATTTTCGGCCGGATCTGGGTTGAACCGAAAACCCGAAATCTTATCGAAACCTGTTCCAAATCAGTTCTTTGAAAAACCTTGAGAAATTTACTCAAAAACCTGAAATCTAGGAAATCGAGTACACCAAAAAGAATGTCAATGCCATTGTCACGATCGAAAACCCAAAAATTACCTAATTCACCGAACACTTTTGCAACAAAACAACGAATGAGTGATATTTTGTAGAAAAACTCGAAGAAAATTGAGAGAAAACGGGGACGATGATGTTGGTTGTTTGGAGTTTTTTGGTGAAAACCCCTATTCAGCAAAAAACGAAGTATATATATATCACCGAAAAATCCCAGACGGCCCACTTAACGATTTCGTACCATGAAAAGTAACCCAATTTTAGGAAAAAAAATGCCTTTTCGATTTTAAGTACCAAAAATCAAATACAAAAATTAAAATTAAACTTAAACACATTTTTAATTAGTTTTTTAAAATTATTTTTATTTTTATTAATTAATTTTTTTATTATTTTTTTGTTTTATTTTTTCTCCCCCTAAATTTGTGCATAAAAATGAAAATATATACAAATTTAAATAAAAACAAAAATTTAATTTAGAACAAAAACTTTTAGCATCAAACGTTATGGAGAAAATTCGTGAGGTTTATCAGTACACACGTTCATGAAAACCCAAAACGTTATGGAGAAAATTTTTGATCCACTTAAGCACATAGGACATTTCAGGACAGATCATGAGTGACGATATATAGCTACTATATTCCTATATAAACCATTTTGTCTGACAACGACCAGGGATATTATTGTCTACTTAAATTTAGCCAGTAAAATCTACCCGTTATCCTTTAGTTATGGATGTAGTTAATGTTTGTACATTAGAGCATATTGCCCGCTTCATGGCATACCCCCGTCATCAAGGAAATTTCTTCGGAATCCTTTACTTTAGGTGAGTACATAATCATTGTGGAATGCATATGTTGTGTCCCAGGTCGGATCTACTGATCACGTGGAGGGGACAACATATGACTAACATTGAGAGTAGAATACTTGTAGGAGACAATATACTGACTTAAGAGTAGTAAACATCATCTGAGTGCATATGTTGTGTCACCAGTCGGATCTTCTGATCACACAAAGTGGACAACATATGGCTAACTAAGAAAGAAAAAATAATGATTTTAAACAAACCTAATTTATCAGAACCCCTTAGTCACCCCCTATCAATACGAAAAAATAAGGACACAAGTCCATATGCCAATGAAGTGCTAAGCTTAGCTTCAATTTATGTCAAAGGCCTCCTTGTCTATTTTACTATTAAATATATCCAAGTGTTGATTGTTAGTAAAAATGAGATTTTCTAAGTTTAAATGAATCCACATTATTTAATCCATTAGTCTTAGTCCTTTATGCCTATCAACAGATTGAACATAGAGTTTAGACAATTGAGCTTTAGTTCTTTACATATATTTTGTTTTCCCTTTATCATTAAATCATATCACTTCCCAAAAGACTATAAAAAAAATTCTTTTTTCTAAAAATAAAACAAAATGGAAGAAATTAAGAAATATTAAATAATAATGAAAATAAATTTCAGTCTTCGAAACATATCATCTTAAGAAATCCCACAAGCACGAGCTTGGGTATAAGAAAAAATTAGGTTTTTAAATGATTGAAAATCAACATTATTATCATAGAGAAGAGAAGAGACAAGAAAATTCAAACCGTAGTTCAACAATAAAAGAAATCCCCATTTATGATCTTTCCTTTCCTTTCCCACAAAGGATACATGCTCTCCATGAACATTCTGAATGTCATGCATAAGAGAGATGTCCCATATCATGTGCCAGGAATAGCCACTATCAACACACTAAAGTCTGATGATATTCCTCCATAGCACCTCCGAGACATAGTGTAGGATTAATTAGTTTTGGGAACCTAGTTCATTTTGAAAACGGGTTGACATTTACCATTTACGCATGATACGAGTTCCCAAGTCACATCCTGTTTATCAAACATAGAAAATGAAGAGATGTTATAAATTTTTATGTGATTTGGGAGTTGAAACTTTTGGTACCCATCTGTAGTCAGGTTTAACCATTTTCATGTTTAATCAGATGGATGTTTCAGCACTTGTTTTTGAGCTTGAGGCCGATTATTAAGATAATTTCGACTTTACTGATCTTGCTCTCAAGATCTCATGTCAGACATGAACTTTTTGTTCTTGAGAGTCTTATTTTTGGTTTTTTTAGCATTCCAATCACCATTGCTTCAACGTGACCTCAAAGGATTTCTTGTGGAAGTTCTCCCCCTTGACACGTTCTGCCAACCTTATTTATAGTAGGGAACATATTTACGATGTGGGCAATTTCTAGAAATATGACCAGTAGTCCCACAGTTGAAACAAGTTTGTATTTTCAAATAAATAAGATTGTGACTTCGTCCATGTCCAAATGAAGTTGGTTTCAAAGAACTTCCACAAGCACAAGCATAATCACATTTATTAGACTGTTTAACAAATTTTTGTGGCTTGAATTTTTCAACAGTGGAATTATTGTGATCACGAGTTTTTGAAGTACTTTCAGCAGAACTAGAATTATTTTTGTTTTGCTCGAACCCATCTTGCATTGTTACTTTACCTGCACATGAAGTAGAAGCATTAGTATCGTTCACATTAATACTCTCAGTTGGGCCAGATTGATCAGTCTTCATTGAGGCAGTTACTGGGGGCTGACCATATTGTGCAGATGTCTCTATCTCTTTGGTTTCAAGGGACGGAATAGTTATCATTGAAAGGAGGTGGAACACAATGATACCCTAGACCCTCACCTAGTTTAACTTTCCATTTTAATTTTTTTTCTATCATTGAATCAACTATCTCACATGACACATCGAATTTCTTAAATTAAAATCAGCCTCTTTAAATTTAGCCTTTAATACAACAAGTTCGGCAGTTAAGTTTGCAATTTTCTCTTTAGCAAAATGATAGTGGACAAATTTGGTGTTATATTCTTCATTAATCCTACTTAAGTCTTTAGTTTGTGCTTCTAGTTTTTCTTTAAGAGGTTTATTGACTTTCTTAATTTCATAAATTTCATTTTTAAGATCAAAAAGCTCTCTAACTAATAATTCGTTTTGTTCACGGTATTTATTTATTTTGTCTTCACAGGATTGAGAACGTGAGTCTTCACCAACCTTCTTGGAACTGTTGTAAGAACTCATTATTAAAAAAATTATTGTGCACTTTTATCTTGAACAAAAACCAAAAATAAATGCTCTCTGACCAAAAACACCAATAGTCAACACCCTGTTGACGGAGAACCTTCGAGGTCAGATTGTTTGACCGAAATCCCTAAAAGTCAAATGTTTGACCGAAAACAGTTGGCCGAGACCTATATGTCTTGGATGAGAACTCTTCGAAGCCGAGAACCCTATACCTTTGTACCGAAAATGCTGAGACGTAGCCGAAAACAAGGTTTTTGATCGAGTTTCCTTATCAAGTGAATCCCAAAATTTAGTAAATTACCAGAATTGATCTCTAACGTAATATCCTCCAAAATTACTGAAGAATACTAAGAAAATGATGAACACGAAGAACAAAAACACAATGAACAACACAAAAACACAACAAACTAATTATGGTTTTGAAAAGCAATTTATACCAAAATTGCCTTAAGTCGTTTTAAAGGCTTTGATACCACTTGTAAGTCCCTAAACTCAGATCTTTCAAGGTATCAATGCATTTGTTTGAGTTAATGCAGAATCTTAATCAAACAACGATG